TATTCTGGTATATACTCCTTTTCAATATTCCATTTAAAATTACCCCAAAAAAGTCAAATGCTATTTACAATAGTACCTTCCAGAAAAAAGGACAAACAAAACTGATTTGATTCATTATACAGCAACATCTAGCAGTAGAAAATCTACCAAATGTTTTCTGTTTGTTTTTATGACTATGTATATAGAAGCTTATATTCCTGCATGGGGTGGGTAGCTAACAGTAGACTACAAGGAAATAATACCTCACTTAAGTATTTCTTTACCTTTGTCAGTTTAGGGTCATTAAGTGTGGTCCTCATAAACCTGCTGCTTCAGTGCATGAAGAAAAATAAAATTCTAAGAATCGCCTAGAAAATGCATCATCTCTAATTCTCTGAGATTTCTGGGATTGTCTTTCTGGAATTTACATCTCCCAGGTTCCATTTTAACATTCACCATTCTGAGGAAACAATTTTGCAAACTCATTATGGTAAGGAGTTTAAAGGGGTAAGGGTTGAGTTCCCCCTTCTCCGCTTACTGATTATGTTATGAGATTTGGGACAAATTACACTCCTCTCAGCCTGTTTCCTCAACTATAAAATGGCTACCAACCTCATGGGTTGTGTGGATTAACTGAGATAAAGTGTATAGAGCACTTAGGACAGTACCAACACAAAGTAAATAGTCAATAGTAGCCATTGTTGGGAAAGAATCCATTATTTTAAAAAATAATAATAAAAAGTACAGGGCCATTCCTACTTCTGAACTTAAACTGCTTTTCTAATAATATAGTAATTATTTTTCTATATCTGTCCTATCTGCCCTCACTGGACAATCTGCCCTCTGGAGATAGTAATTTTGTCTTATATTTTCATAATTAATCCAGATCTTGGTACATAATAGGTCATAAAAAAAAATAACTAGTAAATGGAACTGAACCTAAAGTCTTCCACTATTTCATTATTCCTTCCAGGTTGCAGAATGATGGAGCTCTTTATTCTGCTTTATGCAATTGAATACATAAAATAGATTGCCCTCTGAAACCTCCAGTAAGATGCCAGAATGAAAGAGGCAGCTGATTATGGTAAAAACAGGTCACACAGTGCTTTTTAACTAGTTAGAAGAGCTCAAACTCTCAAGGCAAGGACTGAGTTAATGTCTAATAAAATCTGACTGCTATTCCATTTTAAGTACTGACAGTGTTCTTAGCAGTCAGTACAGAAGAAAGAGGCTACAACATTCTTTGAGATACTGCATCAGAATTTTTCGTTCTGGGCTTCAACCCTTGCTGCATCAATTTACATTCTGAAGGTTATCTTCAAAGCCAGAAGGATGAGGAACAGAAAGGTTTGAAATAAAAAAATTCTAGGCGTTACTACATCTAAAAATCCTTACATTTTAAAATTGGCTTCACCTTGATAATAGGACTCTGATTGTGGTAAGAAACAGCCTTAATTCTTTTCCCCTTGAAAATATACTTTTCCAGAATGCACTGAACTACTTTTAAAGTTACGTTCCTGGATATTGACTGCTAAAACTTGCAGGTCCTGAAAGGGTTAGCATTTCTTTTCCTTTATAATCCTGACTCAACTCTGGGACCAATAATCAGCAAACTAAACCAATTCCTAGTTAGGAGCTTTGAGTACCTCCCACTTGTTTCTGAAGTTGCCTCAGGGGCTTAACTGTCCTAGATAAAATTCAACAAACATTGAAGTTGGGTGCTAAATTACAGAGTGGAGAGAGGTTGACTAAAGTCAGATAACCTAACATCACCTAGAGAATAAGGAAGAAATGTTTACTCTGATCTGGGGACAGAAAAGAGGACAATAAAATGACTTTGCTATACTGAGGAAGAGACATGACTTTGCTATACTGTGGAAGAGAAGGGAGGTAGAGAAGGAATTTCTAGGTGAAGGGTAAAGACTAGAAGAAAGGTCATCAGTAGTCAATTTGGGTAAGGGTTAATAACCACTGCAAATCATTCCAAGTTATACATGTAGAAAAGCTGCCCCTCTTGACAGAGCAAATGGCCCTGTTTAAAATATGTTCCTGACAATGCTGGGCATGCTTTGGGTTTACTCTTGGGTCTTCTTTCCTTTCCCTTCGATAGCCCCCATCCTTGCCCTTAGCCACCTTTTCCAGACACATGACTTGAATTAATTTATATATCTTGAACACTCCAACATTTTTGTCTCCTAAGCTTCACCTCCCTATTTAACATTTCAGAGTGGGTATCTCAGCCACCTATCACCTCTAATGCAGAACTCGATCATCCCACAAAATCTGCTTCACTCCAATTTTCCTTGACTTAGTAAATGATGCAACTATCTATCCACTTCCTTCTATTTTCCCTGACAATACCCACATCAAAGCAATTGTCCTATTTCATCTGGATAACTTTATCTGTCGCCCCAAATGGTCTTCCACAGATACCTTTGTCTTGCTGGTATTCATTCATTCAGAGTGATTTCATTTTTCTTTCAAGGAACAGGGCTTGATGCTGTCACATTCTGAGTAAAGGTTTTACATGGTTTACCTTTGCTTTTAGAATCTAATCTCAAATTCTTAATGTAACTTAATGGTCCAGGGTAATCTGATCCCTTACAATTACCATTTTTCTTCTCCCTCCTTCCATTCCAAACATACCAATACCTTAAACCTGCAAAGTCCTATCTGAGTGTAGAGCCTTTGTAAACACTCTTTTTCCATCCTCACTCTCAAACACCTTCACAGGGTAATTCCTACTCATTGCTCAAGACCTAACTTAAATACCACTGTCTCTGGGAAGTCTTCTCCATGTCCTGGAGCAGGTGGTGTACCTCTTTCTTTCCTCTCCTTTTTCTATCCTGTAAATACAGGATTCTCTGTAAATTTTTTTGTGTATTGTCTATCTCTAACTAGTCTGTGAGCTTAAACAGAAGAAGGGGCAATATCTGTCGTGTTGTGTACAGAATGTTCAGCAGCTGTAGTGCCTGGCATGTAGCAGGGAAATTGTAAATATAGTACTTTTGGAGAACTTACTAATGAAGGAAGCAAGTTTATTAAATGATCAACTAAAGACAGCAGCTCTATGAGTCAGTGTCCTCCAGAGAAACAAAACCAATAAGAGATAGAGAAGGTGGGGAAGGTTGAGATTTATTGTAAGGAAATGACCCATATGATTATGGAGGTTGGTAAGTCTTAGGATACACAAGGTGAATTGGCAAGCTGGAGATCCAGGAGAGCTGATGGTTTAGTTCCAGTCCAAGTCCAGAGGTCTAAGAAGCATTAGTATTCCTATACCAATGCTCTAATTCAAAGGCCTTTAGGCAAGAAAAATTATCTCTAACTCAGGGGAGGGCCTTATTATTGTATTCAGGTCTTCTGCTGATTAGATGAGTCCCACTCACATCATGGAGGGGCAATCTGCTTTACTCAGTCTACAGATTTAAATGTTAATTTCATCCATAAACACCCTCACAGAAACACTCAGGATAACGTTTGACCAAATACTGGGCACCCTGTGGCCCGGTCAGGTCGGTCGGCACAAAAAAATTAACCATTGCATTGGCTAAATTGTCTAAATCAGTTTGCCTTCTTATTGGACATTAAATGTCCTTATGTCTCCAAACTATTAATGTCAAAGCCAAAATCCTAACACACCAAAGGTTTCAGCAAAGCCAATTTGTCTGACACGTTGCTGGACATCTCTGTTATGATTTTCTTTTCCTAACTCCTGGGCTGCATTTTATTTCCAAAATGTAAAAGCCAAGAAAAGGCTAGTAGAACTAATCATGTTAGATGGTCCATGGGCTCTCTCTATGTGTCCACCACCACCACATACAAATCACCAAAACTCTAACACAATCTGTCTGTTTTTATCAGATTTTCTATTGTTCTGGACACAATTAAAGTAAGTTATAGTAAATTTAAAAAAATAGACCTGGATACTGAATACATTTCTTTCTCATTGTCTGAGGGAACAAATTGTAAAATAAAAGTTAGCTATTTACATGGGGCTCTCTTAAACAATGATCCACAGTCTCCAGCCTTATTTCTCTGTAAATCCTTCCTCCTCTCAGTTCTCAAAAATGTTTCCCTTCAAATACAAATCCTCATCCTCATTTGGAAGAAATGCTCAATCTTGTCATAGGATCCATTGTCTTCCTCTATCCAAGGCTCACAGGGAAACAGAACTAAGCAGTCCAGTACATTTTCTGAAGTTCATTCATTCTAGGAAAAGGTGATGGAGGGCTCCAGCAAAACACTGCACAGTGAGAGAGAGTTTTGACACTTTAAATCTAGCTGATGTTGATGGCTTTTAGTATATTTGGCTTTTTCATCAGTCAGTTCTCCAAATGCTATGGACTGAATGTTTGTGTCCCTTCAAAATTCACATTGAAATCCTAACCCCCGATGTGATAGTATTCAGAGATGTGGCTTTTGGGAGGTAATGAGGCTGGAAGGGTAGAGCCTTCCTAATAAGACAGTGCCCTTATAAAAACACAAAAGAACTTGCTTTCTCTCTCTTCTCTACTATGTGAGGATGCTATTTGCCATGCTGAAAACCTAACCTCAGACTTCTGGCCTCTAGAACTGAGAAACAAACTTCTGTTGATAAGCCACACAGTCTATGGATTTGTAATAGCAGCCCAAACTAAATAAGACACCAAACATACAATATCCTGTTCCTACTGCATGCTAGGCAATATGCATTTTGAAGGGTCACCACCAGTGGTAAGGTGAAGATATGCCCCTTCACACTTTCAACTATCAGAGCACAATACATATACACACATACATGCAAACACACTCTCATGGAAAAAACAATATTTTCTCAAATGTAAATTTATCTGCAAAAGCTTCTGCCAACAGTGGAGACAGCATTTTACATTTCAATGCAGAACAGTTTCCCTCCTGTTCACACCAAGTCAGGTTCTCTCTGTGCCTAAGAACCTAACAGATAACAGTGCATGCATATCAACATAAACATCTGTCCCATATCACCACCCCTCAGTAAAAAAAAATACATAAAAATATACCTTTGAATTGTTAATTTGTCTTGTTGTTTTTCCTTTTGCTGTCATCCAAATTCCTGCTAGTCCCACTTCCCCACAACTGGTGTCTATAGGTTTAAGGAGAACAGAAAAAGGTAAGGAAGATGGGCTTTTCTTCCAGTGATACAAATATATACTATGTTCACCATATATATATGTATGTAGTCAAACTTGATGTATCTTAAAATAAAATATAACTTGTTGTAAGAGGAGAGCTTTTTTTCTAATTGCGAATTTGCAAGATGGATTTTTAAAATAGGATCATACTGCAGTCACTGGGTTTTTGAAAGGTGACCTTCACCCCCAACTACATTAGTCAGCAATTCAATTTTCTCAGTATCTTAAAGAGGTGATAATAGCTGCAAATTGTTCTGACATATGCTACCAGCTGCTTCTTTAAAGCAACAGTTATACAACTTTGGTTTTCTCAATTTGAATTTTAAAAAAATGTTCTTCTGTAGCAGTTGTTTTACATTTGCAAACTCATGTTTGAGTTGAAAGTTTCGAACTCATATTTGCAGGAATATGAGACCTGACAAAACCTATTAAAGCCACTCTTTTTGACACATAATTTTACCTTCCCATAACCTCATTATTTTTTTAAATAACACAAAATGTTGTCCTATTTGATCATGTTTATGTTATTTGTCATTACAATTTCACCCTGCATCTGAAATAACACCACATATTTTCAAAGAATGTTCACATCTCACTTCATGAAGTCTCACAACTGCTGTGAATATGGTATGTGATATATAATATTAACCACAGTTCAGAGTAGGAGAAATGGAAACTCAAAGAAATATGAATGTGAGTATCTGCAAAACCTATCTTGAGTCCTTGTTCTTCCATTACTCAAAATTACTCTTGTACCACATCACCATAAATTCAACATTCAACTTTATATAATGGCCTCATAAAATTCTACCTCTAATTCTTCCTATGTATCCAAGCTCCAAGAATTTGTTGCCAAATGTCTCTTCACCATTTCTTGTTGTATATTTGACCATAATCCAAACTGAACTGAACATCTACAATCTTTTTCTTTCACTAATTTCTGTTGCTATTACCCATCACCTACTCTGACTTAAAAACTTTCAGATTTTTAGAGATTCGCACATCCCTTTGACAAATAAAATTAACATGATGTCATCCAAATTCTCCACCTGAGAAAACTTCAGTAGGTTCCCATTTCCTGCCACAGTTAGCTGAAACCTCTCCCAGGCCCTTTACATCTTTTAACAGGTTGGAATCATTTTATCTACTGACCTCATTGCAGTTGCTACTCATTCCTTTTCGTGGTTCTAATCAATTTGCACACTTTATTGCTTTGTGAAGATACCAGAATCATTCTTGAATGTCTCCTTTTATGTGTTTCTTTTAACCAAAAAAACTTTATAGCAATGACTCATTCATCACCATTCTTTCCTCATATGCCTACAAAAATTAATGTCTGTTCCAAAAATTCAGTTATTCAATATTTTGGTATGGTATATTGTTTCCTGAATTTTTTCTCATCTCTGAGCTCCTTCAAGACAATATGAAAACAGATGAGGGCAAATTCTATATGCTTTCCCAAGTACCCTAGCTCAGAGACTAGACACTCAAACAATGTAAGTGGTAAGGATAGCTCTAGGCTAGGAATCTGAAATCTTAGTCTACTAGCTAGTAGTGTGATTTTAGATAAATCATTTAACCTCCTGAACTGCAAGAGCCTATCTACAAACATAGGAATATTAAAACAGGGAAGAAATCCCTCAAAACTCAGTTACTACCCATCTTTGTTATCCATCTACTGAATCATTCCCATCAGCATATAAATAAGTAGTGATATCATCATCACCCAAACCCCACATCACCTTCCACTTACCATTCCATTTTTCTTATTCCCTTTATGGCAAGGCTGCTCAAAAATCTTTTCTAAAAGGGAGAGGGAGGGAGGGAGGGAGGAAGGGGGAGAGACAGAGAGAGAGAGAGAGAGAGAGAGGGAGAGAAACAGACCCCTAATTATAAAGAACAAACTGACGGTTACCAGAGTGGAGGGAGTGTAGATGGGTTAAATAGGTGATGGGGATTAAGGAGTACACTTGTCATGATGAGGACTGAGTAATGTATGGAAGTGTTGAATCACTATATTGTACACCTGAAACTAATATAACACTGTATGTTAACTAATAGAAATTAAAATAAAAACTTAAAAAATTTTTCCCATTCTTTTTGTGTCTATTTCTTTATCCCCATGTTTTTCTTCAACCCATTCTAATTACATTTTCTTTACATTTACATTTTCTTTCTTACATACTAGTAAACCATGTTTATCAGGGTAATAAATTATCTCCATTTTGCCAAACCTAATGATCAGTTCTCAGTTCTCATTTGACTGAAACTATTTCCAGCATTTAATATAGTTGATCATTCTACCCTTCTTGAAACACATGCGTAATCTGGCTTCTCTGATACCACACCATCCTGAGCTTTTCTCTTACCTCACTGGTTGCTCCTTCTCAGTCTTCTTGCCAGTTTCCTCTTTTCTGATCTCTAAAAGTCAGAGGACTCCAGGGCTCAATCTTTAGCCCACTTCTCTTTCAACTTATATTCATTCACTAGTCACACATTTAACTTTAAGCATTATCTACACAGATACTCTGAAATACATACCCCTTTGGAACCTTTCACTTGTACTTCAGATTTATGTACACTACTTCATATTAAACATCACCACTTAGACGTCTCATAGGTACCTCATCTTTAACATGTCCAAAACAAATCCCTTTAACAAAACTTGCCCTCTTTAAAATCTCCAAAATACCTCTTTCCTTATGCTTCCCCAACTCACTAAGTGGCAATACCTCTTACCCAGTCATTTAGGTCAAAAGTCTTAGAAACATTCTTGATTTCTCTCTTTTCTTCAACTACTATTTCCAATATATTGGCAAACCCTACTGATTAAGCTCTTGAAACCTATCCTGCATGCATTATCTTCTCCCTATTTCCATCATAACAACCATAGTAGAAGCAAGGATGTTACTGGCCTAAAATTGTATTCTGTAACATCTGGAAATGTACTCACTTTGGGCAGACACATAGCTGGTTGAGAAAAATGAGGCATCTGTGAGACTTAGAAAAATATGCCTTCTATGAGCACATGGCTTAGCAGATGACTTTGCAAAGATTAGAAAAGGGCTTTTCCTCCTCTAGGTAAAAACAACCCTATCTATGCCAGTACACAAAGTTTGAGGAGCAGAGCTCTAGTTGTATTTCAGCTCCTAATTGACCCTCAATTTGCACAACTATAGTTAGCAGCCAATTCACCATTGTCCCTCACAGAGAGCACTGCAATCCCATCCTATTCACCTCTTTACTACAACTCATGTCCCAGTACATTTGGTTCTCCACAAAATTTCCAAAGTGGCATTTCCAAATTGTAATATTGACAAGGACTCTCTCCTTGATGAAACTTGAGTCAGGCTCCTCTCTATTCTCTAGTAGCCTCCAAACTTGGATTCTCTCCTTGGCCTGCTGAGTCCAGTTTCAGCAAGAATCCTGGCGGATCAGTTTAGTGAGAATCCTCTACCCTCAGTATCTAACCAAATTCCTTACATCTCACATTTTGGTATATGATCACCCTTGATATCTTAAGGGTGGCCAGCCTTCAGCAAGAATCCTGTCAAGTCTGTCTAGCCGAAATCCCCTTTGCCCCTCATGTTTCCTCCTAGTAATTTTCTAGTCACTGATCCCATCCTACTCCTTGGATATAAACCCCTAGATGTCCATTTTGTACTGCGAGTTGAACCCAATCTGTCTCCCTCACTATAAAACCTCCATTAAAACTTATTGCAGTGGTCTCCCCTTGCATAAAGTCTTCTTATCATCTATAAAAATCACCATGAAGATATATTTTTTTAACAAAGCAGATCTTGACACAACCTGACTTAAAGATCTCCAATGACTTTCCATCACACTCAGAATGCAGTGCAAACTCCTTGCCATGGTTAACAGGCCTTGAATGATATCACACTTCCTCCTCTGCTTCATCTTTCTACACTATTTGCCATATTTACCCACTGTCATGTCTCACGGCTTTCTTGCTGTTTCTCTAGCACACCAAGTTTATTGTACCTCAGGACTTCATAGTCACTGTTCCTCCTACATATAATCGCCTTGTCCAAGATACTTACATAGATAACTACTTCAATTTATTCCAGTTATCCTTAAAAGAAAGAAAGAAAGAAAGAAAGAAAGAAAGAAAGAAAGAAAGAAAGAAAGAAAGAAAACAAAAAGACTCTCCCCAGAGTATATTTAAAATAGTGAATGTGTGCACATGGGCACACACACACACCTTTACTCCCTATACCTTTTTCCTCTGTTTTTAGAATTTATCACAATATGATATATTTTATATTCACTCTTTTTTTCTTATTTGCTTTCCCCTGTAAGTTGTTATTTTTCTGGCATTGTTTCCTCTAAATTGAATGTCTTTGTTACTTATGTACCTGTATTTCAAGTGAAAAAAAAATACAAGTAACCAATTCACGGTAGTATTTGCCACAAATAGAAGGTAGTCTGAAAAATGGATACATTGAAAACAAAATAATATTATGGTATTTCAGTTAGCTATTATTCTATCAAAGATGGAGTTTGGGTCTCCTTCTGTTAAAAAAAAAGGAGATTACAAGGTATTAGAGAGGACATAAAGACACACCAACAGCAAACAGACTTTGTTCTCCTGAGTAAATCAAAATAATTCTAGAGAAAAGTAAATTTTTTGCTTATGAGATTCAAAATTATTGAAAGTCATTCCATTAGACATTTGACACTAAAACTATACTTCCCATCTTTCTACACACCTGTAATCTGGATTTGGCCTTCCCTGAGGTGATCAGATATTTCAAATCTCTAGCCATGAATTGCACTCAAAGTTTACCCGAGGGTTAAATGAGGGTCTAGGAGAAGAACAAATTTTACAATCCTTAATACAAAGTCAATTACACTATGGGGCTCTTTTCTAAGGAGTTTATATCATTTGCATGTGTGAAATGAAGTTGATGTACAGTCAAAGTG